GCCTATTGCAAGGCCTTTAAAGTCGCATTCTTATTTGTAGACGGCGTTAAAGCCTCATGTAACTTCTAGTCACCTTGAGAAGTGATGTTTGAGAGAACTTTCAGCACAGCTCTAAACTAGCATATATTTTTAATACAGGCCGCTTAGGGTGTTATCACGTTAACATGTCAGCATCAGCATATCGGATTCAGGGTTTGACAGTCGTCTGGGTGAGCATATGAGCATCCTAATTTAAAACCCAGGGTTCCCATTAGCAGGTTCCAGCAGGTTCCCATGCAAAAATGTTTAACCACGAAAAATACTACCATAATATTCTATCCTATTAGTTAATATGTATCAGTTCTTAACAACTGAATAATACTATATAATATATATTACCTCGATGTATTTTTTACAATGCAGTAACGTAGTGTGAATGTGTATAGAACATTTAAAAATTGTTCAGAGTAAGGCCAACTTTTTAGTTAATTAAGCTGTGAACGGACCATATTACTCTAGTGTACTGATATCGTCGAGATATAGGAGACTCTGGGTTCGTTCTCCAGGCGGTCCTTTTGGCCATTTCGAATAAGCTTCCAAATGATCAGTGGCGCACTTCATTGTTCCCCCGCCACGTGCGCAAGTATCGTGGTCAACAAACAAGTAGAATGCGTTGTTTCAAAAACAGAGATGAAGGTCGCAACTATTATCTGTCCATGTTTCTAGGGGTTAGGAAACGGTGCTTTTCGAGCCATTATGATTGCCATCGTCGTCACTGTGCCAAGGTATTTTTTGCCGTAGAATAACATGTTATGTTCGATTGTTTCGGGCGAATGCATGCACACCAGGACACGTCGGTGTTCAGGTATCAAGCAAGGCCAGCAGCAGTAATATCAGCACACAATAGCATCTGCCGTTGCTGCAGAAGTTCATGTTGAGTAACGGTAACCTTATGGGAGGTGTACGAGCAATGCAACCATTGTGCCATTATGTGTGGATATGTTTTTTGTGTGAACAAACGAATACCCATTCCATCCAACGGCAGTTCCACCGCAGTGCAAAACCACGTTATTGTACGTCAATTGCTGTCTCCAATCGCACTCTTCGTTTCAGTTTCCGTTCTTCAGATCCTACTATCTGACTTTTGCGGCCCTTCTCCTCCGAATTATACTCATTCATTCTGCCCCGTTGTTCTTGGGCTTAGCACTGGATACAGGCAAACAAGATAGGCCAAATAGTCCGAAACCAATATAGCAATATCTTTCGTTTCTTCGCGACAGAGGGGGAAAATAAGAAAAGAACAAGTCTTCAGGGCCCAGGTCGAATGCAGTATTAATCGCATTGAGACTCTCTGTTTGCATGACCCGCGTTCTGTACAGTAGTAGCTAGTGCATATTGCTAACGCGCACGCAGAAACTCGCATCAGGACGACGAACAGACAGCGGAACGGAACAAGGGCATCGTCCTTAGGGTGAGGCGCGAACTGCCTAGATTAGTAACGGTAGTGGTTGTAATAGAGTTGAATCGGGCGATATTGGATCACAGAGGCACCTGTAGCAGTCGAATAAGTCGAGTTGGCGCTGGTCATATCTATAATTCACACTTCGCGGTTCTACCTTCATCGGCGGCAAAAACAGTATCCACTGGGTCTAGGTGCACCTGCAATGGTCCCGTTCCCATAGCCAGATGCAGAAGAGCTGTCTGCGAGGTTTTGCACGCAGAGCAGTGTTAGCATCGAACGCAAGAACTTCGGAACATATGGGAAATTAAGGAAGAGTATAAGTAGCAACATGTTAAAAAATAATGTATACGTGAAGTAAAAGACGTTTAGTAGGAGTACCGCGTTTGTCTGCTTGTTGATGAATCCATAACGTTCTTTTGGATTACTATCAGCTACTCCTCTAAAGAAAACTAGTGCAGAAGATATACCCATAAGAGCTATAGTTATAGCTGCAGAAGTAAAGCAACAGCAAAGAATAGCACGATACTGTTTCTGCTCAATCATTGGAGAGAGGAGGCAATCGTCAGAAGGGAAGGCAAAATTGGATTTCACATCATCCCAGTGGGACCTAAAAAGCTGAGCAACGCCTCTGGCTCTTGTATAACTCAGCCATGATGGAAGACAGAAGAATGTATCCAAATATTGCTGCATTCAGTAGAAAGTGGCTATACAACGATACCAATATAGGTTAATATTATGTCTAGTAGAAAACGATTGCCCCGTGATCAAGTTCCTTATAGCCATGCGTGCATAGGTGAAGTTCGTTAGAATTGGCCCACACGTGCCCAATAGTGGAACTTCGGTCACTCAGTAAAGTACTGGATGCACAGATATAAAGCGTCAGGCAAACTATAATATGATACCGCCTGGCCAGGGACAGTGTAACGTAGCACTCAATCAGACCGTAATGTATAGCTGCATCCGATTTCACTGTCAAATATTCAAACAGTGGCGACGGTAAGCCAATTCTGCCATGGCGCGTTTGCTTATTAGCCGGGCTTTTTTCAAGAACTTTCTTGGGTACGAGCCCTCCAGAGCAGACATTTAATAACGGTCTATTTCTTGATCATCGTCGCATGAATAGTCGACCTCTGAAAAAATCATCAGAATTTTGCTCATGTATAGTATCCCCATTAGATATACAAGTTCTGTTTGCCGAATAGAAAAAGGACAAAGTGAGTATCGAACAGTAAAACAGGATTTTTCCTCGAACTGACTTACTGCTGCATGATACATCGATCCATAAGAACCGGGTTTCATAGCCATGTAGTTGTAAATATTAAGCCATCTATGTCAGTGATAATTTTCCTCATATCATAGTCTGCTATTTTTGATAGATGGACGGGGTGGGTCTGGTTCAATGCTGCTTCAGACGACTGGTGCAAGCTGAAAAGCCAATATTATCGAAATTTCGGTCCGACGTCCGAAAGCGCAAATAGAAAGACTCTACTGTCCTACAGATTACTGTCAGTATAGGGCTGATCAAGACAACATAATTTCCATATGCACTTGCTAAAGCAGATACATCCATCCGAAGTCGAGTTTATTTAGCCCGCTTTGCACGACACCTTTCGGTCGCAGGGGTTACCTTCCTCTATCCTAGTACCGGTTTCTTGCTATCGACTCATAACCGGCGAACTTATTGGTAGAACGAACAGCATTGGAGCTGAGACGTGCGGCAAAGAAAGATGTAGCGGTATACAGTTTCTACCCTGACAAAACTTTGCATGTGATCATGTTTTATGGTACGTCTATTATTACTTCTGCATCTGCTTGTCGTCCGCTGTTGATCGCACTCTCGATATCCTATCTACTTATTTGCCAATGAAGACCTGTACATGCAGTGTTATCATAGGCTATACATACACACATCAGGCGACGGCAGCAAAAGGCCACGCGATGGCGCAGCTTTTCGTTAGCGATCGCAGAATTGGCCGGGCGCGGCCTACGACGTGACTTCTCAGCAGAAAGGCAAGGTAAGCAGGTTAGTGTTCCAGCATACACTGCACATGCCAGAATCATCTATTTGCTTACCCTGCCGTGCGTCTTACCTAACCGACCCACTGGCATCGATGCGTACAAGTTACTACATACAGCATGAGCGCACGCAAATAGATAGCTGCGCGACGTACAAGTAATTACACTCAAATCCCCTCCGAAATAGCAAAATACATGCATTGGTCAAGTAATGCACGATTAAAGACGCAGGTCATTTTTGGAAAATGTTAACTCCCGACCGAGTTTTTTTTTATAGCGAAAATGCATAGGCCCAACGAACATGTTCTGCCATGCCGAATAGGTATTTGGGCCTCGGACAGACCATGGGCAGTTTTATTTAGTAGTCCGGTCAGACGACAACGTCAGCCCCTGCATGACGCGACCCCTTGCACCTGTGCATATTATGAACGACAATTGAGATTTTCATGACGTTCACAGGAAGACTGGTTTCTATGTATTGATCATTTATGGTGATTTAAATTTACCATAAATCACTTCACGTGTCTACGTGACCTGTCTCTCTAGAGATCACTCCCCATTATCTTAAGTCCCGATTTTTAGACCAAAATACCTTGTGCTTGCTAACTTTTCAAATGTATGGTAAATTAAAGGAATATTTTTCTGAATCCAATTGTCTGACGGCTAGTTTGAGGAAAGTTGACATTTAGCTGAAGTTGTCATACAACACAATTAAACGAGACGCACAAAAATACAACAGTTAACGATACTCTAGCTTGCAGCTCATTGCTTTTTTCACTGAATGTTATCGATCTTAGAATGACTTTCTGTTTGGGTGACATGATATTTCTGTCAGTACGTATAAGTACCAAGGGCAGAACTCCGCTATTGTGATATGGAAACCTATTGAACTGCATAGAGATCTAGCGTGGTCATTCTATGACCTTTGCCTGCTTTCATAGATTTATTTAGGAATTTTATATCTACGTTTACGTTATTGTTGTGCATGTTGTCGGACTGTAGCTGTCGCGGTTTGTATAATGTGTGTACACATATAGGTATGAATGTACACACGCACCGAAAACTCTGCCCAGTGGGTTATGGTTTTTCTGTTGCTCCCTGGGTATGCTGCTGTTATCTAACCCGATCCGGCCTGAATGAGTGAACTAACACGGCCGCACTTAACTACGTACACAAACCCATCGGGACTGACGACGGAACACGAGCGAGCGAATCCAGAACGCTTGCCTTACTTGGCGCCCATACATCTAATTTGTCTTGCTCTAGTATAAGACGAATACGCCAACTGTTCACAGTATAGCTAATGCACCTCACGATGTGATCTGGCGCGACGATGCTAGCTGAGGCGGCATTGTACGACCCTATTCCTGCCACCACAATTTACCTACAATGCCTAATTCGCTATAATGACAGGCAATTACGGAGAATAGCTTTTCGACCGTGTCGCATTGGCCCCCGGGGCGACTGACCGGATGGTCAGCACATGGACGAAAGGCCCGACAGAGAGTAGGATGGATGTAGATGGATTGTAAATAAGACGTACCTTGGGAACCCGGCGCAACGGCTAGCGCCAGGATAAGTGTAGCCGCTGTCAGGGAAGCAAGCAGACGCCGTTGGGGCTTTTTCATCATTATGGGTTGTCGCCGCCGCCGCTCTCAGTGATGTTTCATCAATGCAACGAACCGAAATTGGTGTTGAGAGATGATTAGGATCCAAAATAGGTCTAATGAGTGCCGCTTGCTTGGATGGCCGAACATAAAAGACTACCTTCCTTCTAAAGTGAAGTTTCAAGTCACTTCACGTACTCACTGACGAAATCAATCAAGAACTCTAGATAAAGGCTGTTACAGTTTCTTACAGATGCCCGGGTAGAAGTAGCCACACCTAGAAAAAGATTTAGGTAAAGTCCTTATCTCCAATGCTGTAGTCCTGAACGATTTTCACAAAGCTTCGCAAGCTGTTGTCTCTCTTTGTCCGTAGACCTTTTGATGAGAGCCTATTTTTGATCAAACACGTTTCTCCATAGAAACTGAGCAGCGTCTACACAAAATTATCCAACTTTCGCTCACTCACACTAAACGATAAATATGTGTTTCACTGACACTTTTTTACAACGTATCAATTGAGGCAATGAGTCTTTGTAGCATATGTTCTTTTGCTTACAAATATCGTAGTCCGTCAAATTTCGCTGTTCTTCAAATTACCAGAACTGAAGGTGTTCAGATGTCGCTGATATTAGTGGCATGTCTAGTATTATCAATGCGATGTGCTAGGATCTATCCAGTTTTACTCGAAAAATCACGGCATCCAATGTAGTAACAAACACTTTGGATTGTTCCTGCGCAGCTGCTTTTACCGATGGGTGATTTGAAAACGGCGGCAAGTATCCTTACCCAACTTTTATGAGCCCATCTAGCTGCGTTAGGCATTCAAATGGGTGTTTGGCCGGCGCGACGAAACCTCGTGCGTCTCTCGCCCTCCATTGAGAAAGGGTGATATGGGGTGCGGGTGAGGGTCAACGCCGGGCGGCGAGGCACCCAACGCTGGTAGCCGTAGATCGTAGCCGCCCCGATCGCCGTCTTCTCCTGCGCTTTCGTTTCGACAGAACGTGAGAGAATAATTGGGTTAAAGTTGTATTAGTCGCGATATCGGCCAGTGTCGTTCTATGGGCCATTAATATGGAACTCTAAAAAACAGTGGAGAACAGATAGTACTGCTGCAACGGCATCAGAACGCTCTGTAAAAGCTTTAGCTTTATCTGAGGGTTTTTTGGCAAACTCACTCATACACTCCATACGTTTGAGAACCACAGACGATAAAAGCGACCTTTCGTACGAATCACCAATAATAGGCAATATATATATATATATTCTTTTCTTTTTTGTTTACAAATATAATCGGCCCATATGACTTATCTTAAACTATGCGAACGATCCTGACAATAAACAAATGTAACAGCAGATCTTGTGAAAGGTAAACAAGATTTGATCGTTTAAAGCATTTAGACCCTTTTAGATAGATGTTTAATAATTTGCGGCCGTGCATACGTGCACATACATTACTGCGTTCTCGGACAGCAGAACGTCTCGTGATAGTTGTCCACGTCCACTACAACTGTCGACTCCTGATATCGCTAGGAAATTGGAGTTGTCTGTCGGTTCTTTTGGTAACATCATAGCGGCTGTAAGCATTCGATGGACTACGGGGACCATTTTTGATATGGGCGTGATATTGCGGGCAGTCGGCACCCAGGCATCTGGTAGCAGACAGGTAATTGGGCGGTAGACTTGTAAGAAAGAGGTGTGAGCCAAAGAAATGTAGTGAAATGGAAAGAATACTGCCAATACAACTGTTATTGCTGTTCTTGTGGATTCGACAGTTGATCACTCAAACCTCCCAAACATTGAACAGGTAGCACATTTTCATAAATCTATTCAGTACTACCTTATTGTATACCCACGAATATAGGAACCAGGTTTCGGAATACGGGACACACGAAATACGAGAGGCTCGCGTATGCTGAACCCCCAGGTGAGGGGTATTTTTCTTATTGAAGAAAAAAAAAATAGTGTTACCGTAGCCAGTAACCGCAAAGCCGCTCGCCGTCATTGTATGACAAAGGAAATATGCTCGTGGCCTTATTGTTGCTAGGATCATAATCATCAATCCTCAGACATCAGTTTGCTAGTAGAGCCCTAAGTACACTTTTGACAAATTCAACTCGCAAGCACTAGTAAGCAAGAACCGGCTTTGTGCTGCAACTGTAAATAAACAGGACCTCTCATAGTTGTATAAAACCTAAAACATTACGTCTTTTTGTTGTCTATTGTTTTCCATTGCCGTATAGGTAGATAAAAATATGCTCAGACTGTTTGTGGCGTATTATTTACATTGTATTTTTTTAGGCACGTGTCCTTGATGAATAGATGCGCTTTTGTCGGAGCGGTTCAATCGTTGAAGTCAATTGGTTGGAAACCGTGCTTCGCCATTCGCAGAACTTTCAGAAACGTTGAAATTCATTTAACAGATGTACTTCATTTTAACCACTGTGAACGTGACGCATTACAATGGATGGGAAAACGAATTTTCAGCAATAGATCAAGATTTGTTCTGTTGCTTTCTGTTTTTTAGCGATTGAGCCTTCATTGAGATATACGAGGTACACATTTTAGAGAACAAATGAGACGGTACTGTTCGAGCGTCACTCGTCGTTTCAAAATGATTGTCTTTTGATGAAAATAGCCGCCACCAGTAACATAAGCTTATCTTTGCGCTGCTAAGTCGACAAAAAAATAAGCGCCCTTATTGCTTCCATTAGATAGTACTCATTTTTGCTGCATGTTGTACGGCCGAAATACACGATCAGGTTGATTCTCCTTCTGTTGGGTAAAGCTGACTGCCTTTTTACGAGCAAAATTGTCAGAAGCGAGGATTCATATCTTTGAGTATGTTTTTTACCACGCCGCACACGAAAAATCGTCACATATAATGGCTACGTTCGTATACGTATGGACGAAAATGACTAGGCTGCACAGAAAACTAGGTAGCTTCAATATTTTGCATAAGGTTCACATATTTATTTGCGTGATTTAGGGAAAAACATCGTCTAACAAACGTCACTTTAAACATGCCATTCAGGCATCTTTGACAAGCTGAGATTCGGAGATGCCTTTGAAACATTTGTCTCGCAGTTTCTAAATCGTAATATACATTAAGTATAAGCAACAATCTGATTCTGATGTTTTATAAGTCAAAAGTTGGTTTCATCTCTCTGTGTGTACGGTGCGGGTAGGAGTTAATTCTGTCTAAATGTTTACCGACAAATATTCCCTGAAGGTGTAATTAACGTTACCTGGATTGCCAGTGCTGAATTCTTGTACGGTTAGACGTAACGATTCTTCTGTGCTGCCATGGTCAATTGGTCATAAATAAACGGGAGCCCACTTACCAATCAAAAGCTGCCGCGCAGAGTATGCCACTACTACCTTTGACAGTTATTTCATGCAATATATTTTTTGTGGAATTTACATATTCCAATTACCATAGTGGAAGGCCGCCAGACAAGAGGGTCTCTTCTGACAAAAAAACAACTTATATATGCTAATAATGTATTAGTCCACATACTCACTGATTCGACGACGTACCGAGTGATGCTTGCAATGCAGCATTAAATAGATAGTCATCTACTTGATCATCATAAATTAGGAAAAAAAAAAACGAAGTTTTACGGTCCGAACTATGACCCCCAATAGTCAAGTCAGCCCACACAAGCCCTAGAAGCGGCTTAAGATGTATCAACAAGAACTACGAGCGAGAAAAGTGACCGCTGTTATTTGACGTATGTCTAATCTTCCTAGCAATGTACGCATATGGCCAGCAAACTGCTAGCTAGTGTAATCGCGAATCGGGACCAATCTGTTACAAACGAGGTAAGATGATGCGCCCCCGAAGTTGTGCGTGATGCATTCGTTGATGTTCATTGGAACCGTCAGTCACTCAGTAAGTTAGCTGTTATCTCTTGACAGACTTAATGCACTGAAGGCAAAAGAAGACATCGAGAAAAAAACATAGGACGCTAACTGGTTAACAGTCACAGAATTTGTGGTTAGGTGCTCTGCTCGCCCTAGTTCTCTCACGTTGTCTCAATGAGACTCGACGTTGAAGACTAGTTCCTCTCAACCTCTCGACAGATAGCGAGAAGATATGCAGAAATGCGCTCGTGCGTGCACTTATGTAGTAAACAGGACTATTGTACAATGGACACCCTAAAATGTGCTGCGTTTGGTCTATGCCTTGGAGTGGTGGTGAATAAACACAGCACAGGAAACACGAGGCGGAAAGGGCCTTGATTGTATAAGAGCCGCAAAGGTAGTACGAAGGACGGAGAAGCTACCGACGTCACTTTAGCGGGGTTCGTGAAAGCGGACGAGTTGTAGCCATTATATTGGAATAAGCTCGAAATAGGGAAACGTTTAACGAGACCAATTTGGAATTACGTTTCAAAAACGTAAGGCTATCGCAAATCCTAGTGGGGGATGTCAATTATAGCATGGATAGAGTCGACGTCCACAGAAGGAATAATAAGGAAAGCAACAAAACAAAGTCAGAACCATGTTTCAATTTGCCACAGATGGTTTGTTGTTATTCGAGACACAAAGAAAAGAGCGGAGCTGGTTACCGATCTAGCTAGTCAAAATTAAGACGAAAGATTTAATTTCTGGTACGGACAAAAGCCATTTAGTCATTGATTGTAATAAGCTATGTCTTGACGCACAAGCACTAAGGCGAAGATTTAGTCAGACCTATCTTTCTTCAATTCCCCTTAAAATATAAGCTTCGCAGCTGTTTAAATGTGCGCAATAGTCGAATATTTCCTTAAGAACTACTAATGGACCCCATCTCCGAGCAGCAGAAAACTAACTGTACAGAACTTCACACGAAAGTTCATCAATCAGCCTGTCTAGAATAAACCTGCGAGTTTTTCTGTCAATAACAGTACAAGACAATCTCGTGGGCTATCACTAGCGATGTGAGGTGGGCGACGCAAATAAATGAACTATGGCAGAGGCGTAAAGGATTCGCTAAATCGTACTAAGCACTATTTCGTAGACTTCATATCGCGGCATAAATCTAGTTTAAGTATATGGGCGTTATAATATACCTATTAAGGAAAGTGGTTGCAGGAAGGGCACATTGGCATCTGCTGCTTTACCATAAGAATACCTCTACATCAGTGTATTGATTTCTCTTGGCAAAATGTCAGATTTCATTGTAGCAACCATTAGGTGTTTCGTCATCGTTCGTTAATAATAAAACCAAAAAATTCTCGCAAATGTATAATACCGAATAGAGGCATTCTACGGACACTGTGCACCGCTCGTGTTTGCACTAGCTCTGCCTACCCAAGCTGCTTTTTGCTCAATAGGCCGGTTGGTCGTGTCCATGTCGCCTTGTCATGGCCTGCACCTCCAGCAAGACTTCACCGGCATCGCCGATCGCACACAGTCCGAAAGACTATGACTACGAAATCTGGAGCAGCGGATTAATGAACTTCCAAGCAACCGGTTATTCAGTAGCAAACGACAGGAACTGAGTCAAATATGCACAACTAGCTCCTGCGGTCTAGCTAGTCTCTACCGGTAATCTACACGGACTGAATTGATGTTCGGGTTCGTAACGATGACATTCTTAAAGATGGATATGGTACGTGTGCGTTTTGAAGGAGAAGCAATAGATTGAAAGTGCAAGAAGTCTTGCTGCATATGCTTCACTCTCTGCGATGTACCGCCGCTCCTTGACACTGTTTCACTCGAACTTTGTTGAGTGATCGGGCCAAAGCACGGGGCGGACTGTTTTTTTCACTTACTCTCTGTTTTTGCCCCGCAAAGAATTTCCCTATTAGAGAGGATCCGTCCTCGTGCGTTATCTCGGCAGCGCACCATATCTCTCGGTCGCGCGAACACCACCGCGGTTCCGCTGTCCTCTTAGTACATGTCATCTTTAAGTAATAGTAGTAGACTCTTCTGTGCGAAAGCGTGCACGCGGACAGATATATGCGCTGGCGCTTGTAGGGCAGAAAGGATTTGCGGCGTTCATTGCCGAATCATCGCCCAGCGAAGTATTCTTCTATGGGGCTGCTCAGTCGACGTTGACAATGACGACTACCACCGTGTGTAGGAGTTACTTACCACAGCGGAGAATGGGTAGGCAAATGAGAAGGAAAATGACGTTGAATTCGAAGACTGAGAGCTGAAGGTGACTCACTCGAATGTACACCGCAAAGAACTTCGAGGTTCAATTTATTATGGAGGTTGTTACTGAATAAGTTTGTAATGGTTTGGCATATTGTCACGTCGTGCACGAAAAGCTGATGACGGGGCGGAAGTTGAAGATTTCACAGATTCGAAAAACTTATATTAAATTAATATTAAATACTGCTCAAACTTTCAGCTTTTTAGCTATTGAAATGTTTGGTGGCAACTCGAGGCCTGTTGCGGATGCAGTAAACAAACCAGAATGAAATACTAAAATTTAATAATAAAAGCAATTACTTCACGTAAAATCGGATGTATCACATAAAAAAAATGCTATATCAATGCTAAATCTAAGCATATTTGCTGTCTAGTCTTTTATGCTTCGTTCCGGCTGAAGATAGCGGCATTGTATACCCAATGTATGAGTTGCAACTCGCCCTGCTCATGGACACCATATTGTTGCCTGTATAAAACGCAAACATATATAACATACGATATCATCCGCATACTTCCATTGAATTTCGTTTTTTCGTTTCGTAGTAATAACGAAACGACACATTTGACTTTCTAAAAGACTTAAAATCAAAACAGATTCATTTCGACAAGAGAAAAACGAGGAGGAAGACAAAGCTAATAGTTTTCATATCAGAAATCTTCGTCAGCTATCAAACGATTCAGAGCTAATCGTTTGTGCTAAAAAAGACCTATTAAGGCGATACCTTAAAAGTATTTTGATTTTCACTGAGCTCGGCTTAGTTGTTAATGTTTGGTTCCGGCACTAGTTAGAAACTAAAAAAAAAAACCGAATGGGCCCACTGTCGATTTAGCTGATCTCATATTCTTATCGAGGTAAGTCTTAAAAATAAACCATAGGCGTTTCCAGATAGGTCCTGCGCGAGGATTGAAGCAAGCAATACACTTCAAGATATTTAGTATCAATTTTGCCGACTCGTCTGCGCAGACCTTTTACCTTTTCGTCCGTGACAAAATTGCAACGATTGCAGGGGAAACCTTTTCAGTGCTGTAGAGTGTTACTTTCCCAGACTTATTATGTCTGGGAAAGGGTTCATACAAGGTTCACGTACAAACGATTAACAAACGAATCGAAACGTCGGGGCTACTTTTCATCTCGATCGTAGCCTTGCGTCAGATCTGTCACAGATTCGGCCTGTTTTTGTTAGTTCCTTTGTCGACTCCCTAATCCTGTGCTTATTATATTTCTTATCTATTCTCTCCGTTTGGCGTCAGGTCACATCTCATTGTGAGCTTTCCTATTGATATTACACTTTTAAGTAGAGGAGTCCCTTCCGGGTTTGAAAGTAAGTGGGCAGCGCCAAGTCGCGTAGAAGAAGCTTCTTTTTTTGCTGAAAGCGGGAAATAAGTATCTGGGTATATGGGAACTCTAAAGTAGACGGTTAGCAGGAAACGGGTATGCACGACACGAGAAAATTCTTCGTGTCCACATGAATTGCTCACTGTGTGACCGACTGGATGCTTTTAGACAGACGAGACGAGCATACCTCAAACGGTCGTTTTGTTGACAGGGCGTGTCAACGAGTTCTCGCCATTTTTTTATCATGTTGACAGATTCGAGTAGTAGTCCTGCTGAATGGAGCAGGAGATCAATGCCTCAGCGAAAGCGCTACAAGCACAGTGGAAGTAGGATCGTCGCTAATCTTCTTACTTCGTTTTTAAAGGCGGAAAATTTTTCACTGTTTTAAAGATATTTGTTGCGGCGGCATTTTCGAAACTTGGGGACCCTGCTTCTAGGATCGCCGAGACAGCACAGAAAGTACTGACGTCATTACAAATTTCGTCAACAACTCCTTCTTTCTACTAAAGAACAAAATGTGGTGGACATATGGAACAAATGAGGTGATCTAGTCGTGCAATGTCTGACGTAGCGAAACTACCAGCGGCTAGCGACCATATGCAACGTACAATTCGCTCTCGACAAACGTTAGGTTTTCTCTTAGAAAATCGAGTTCTTCGGTAAGAATTCTAAATTTCTTATTGCTTCTCAATCTCGTCATGGCATTATGTGCCAGCTCCAGACTGGGATGGCAACAGTGTTCTCATTTGTCTCGACAACATTTTGCTACATATGTATATATATATATATATATATATATATATATATATATACATATATATATGCTGTACTTAAGAAGTTGTAGTTAAATAAATACGTTCCTGGAAGCGCTTGAAGATTGGTGCCGGATTGATGCTTCGGCTTTTAGTCCTATCAGATTGCGTACTTTTAAGCTGCTTTCTGGCAAGTTTATCAGAACCTCGGTTCCCCACCCCGGCGGTAGCCTATCTGAACCATCTGTTGCATGCGAGGATTCCGTACGAAGTGCTTGCGGGTTCGAAATCTGCATTGCAAGGAAAATATTGGAAATATGTCGAACTTATTTGTAAGCCCATGTACTCTTGAGCTTCCGATTTACTGATAGGGCGTAATTTAAGAGTTACACTTTATACTCCTGTTCGGTTCTGAGTTATGGTCACTCGTCGCAGTTTTTTTTATTGATTCGATAAAGGTCCGGATGTTTTACCGTAAGATGTGACAGCCTGGTCAGCAAAACATTAGATGCAGCAAAAATTTGAACGCGGGCGTTAGGCCCATGAATGACTTTTCTGTATGCTGTACAGAGCTGGTTATGATTGTTCTGTATTATCCCTATGTCATACTTTGTATATACATATATATATATATATACACAAAGTATATATCACTGTCATCAGTTTTCAGCTGTTTATGGCTAACTGCATTATTTGCATGTCGAAATGTTCGAGTGGATTAGAAACCTATACATTTATACAAACTTGAACTATACATCATATTTTAAAATGACTTCCTTAAAACGGCATAAGCATTTCTAGTTAGAGCCAACGGTAACAGGTTCAAAGACTGCCCTTCAAGTATAACATCGCTGTCGTATACCGGTGACACCAATTAACAACTTAAGGTAGGAGGACAAGGCATAAGGATCGTTACACTCAATCAAGCAAGAAGTTGTTGCCTAAACGCGGTTCAAGGATAACTGCCAGATCTTAAAACCTGTGTAACTTAGTTATTTTCTTTTCCACTAAAAGTCCTTTATTTTTTTTCAAGTTCAAAGACCTTCAAATGAATGTCGGCAGACTCGTAATCAAACGTACGTTGAAATGGTATTCTAGTCAGGACATTATATTTGGAGCTATCCTCTCATAGTCACTCGATAAGAAAGCCCTGGAGGGAGTCAACGTCGTTAAATTCTATAAAATTCATGAATTCTGTACTGTTCCATCTCACCGAAAAATATTTCGCATGCCGCAGTTAGATATGAACTTTATTCCTTTATGTTAACATTTGTAACTTACGTATTGCAGGTACTTGGACGGCCATACCTTAAAGAATTACCTATTTCCGCTGTATGTTCCGCTGTATTGTATTGTGTCAGTACTCATAGAGATCATCGTAACTACCAGTTGGAAAATATTCCGTTTTTAAGGTGTTCAAACAGGAGGCTGAAACAGCCTAATGTGTGTGTGTGTGTTGATATATATACATATATGTATATATAACGACTGACCGCACAGGGAACGAAAAGTTGTCAATGGAGGACGATAAACAATCATGGAAACTTAACCACCAACTTAATTCATAAATGAAAAGTTTCATATGGTAAAGATTGTTTGGGTGGTATGCGTTTCTCTTTAACACGCTGCCTTTTATCTATACATGACCATATCTGGAGGCCAAACTGATATGAATAGAAAGCATATGCACTATCATCTTGGCGTTTAAGCTGTTATAGTTTGTGCAAAAAAAAAAGACTGCCTAAATGAACCTTTTTATGAATTTCGTGTCCAGTATTCAGGCTTCAGGCTTTCAGAATTAGCACAAACTCAGCCTTGTTAGAAACTACGTACTATCATGTACTGGGCTATAGTTAACAATCGATGCAAAAAAAAAACTGATAATCTGCCAAGTTTCCTTCTGCATGTTTTTATTCAGGAAAATCTATTGATTTAAGTTAGCCCATGATTCAATTTTTACTCGAACACAAAAGCAAATTCTAGTAGATTAATTTTTTTTTGTCAACAGTTGCCAGCCTAATTTTATACTAACTAACTAACTAACTGCAAATTGGCAAATCGGTAACTTTGTAGGAACAAACGGCCATCTCGATCTGTCCACACTTTGTATATGAGCTACATACAGCCGTGAAATAGTGCGCTCTATCAAGAAGTAGTTACTTTTGTAAATACGCCCTGAAAGAAAGTAAAAATTTATTTGTCCATTTTGGTCCATACTGGTTGATCTCATTTAAAACATTGTGATTGGTGTTCAGATCGATTTAGGATAGCGATACACAGAGCTATCATTTACATTTCTCCAATGCCCTTCTCTCCTTCACCTCATTATTGAAGATTCAACGGTTTAATGCATGACTAGTCTTGTACACGTTGATTGCTGATGTCATTTTGGTACGATAGACCAACTTAGTTATGCCGGCCGTAGGTGGGCGACGGCCATTTTACGGAGCTGTTCGTGGTTTGTCAGCAAAGTCTATGTGCCGCGGCCACGACATTGTACATAAACAAAATGAACCCTATATGTGTACGTGCACATATAGAGGATGCATAACAGAAAGGTTCATCATTGTGTCAGCATGTTGGGGGCTACGATGGCGACATATAAATAAATTTGTGTTCATTAGTGTAAATTCGTGATGGCGTTTCGGTCCAATACGTATAGGTGCCCGCAGCCAGACCTCAGTAAGACGTCTCTATGAAAAATCGATGTTGCGTCATATATGGAGGACTTCATTGATGTACATTTACTTAATTCTTTCCACCGAAGACAAATCTGTAGGCAAAACTTCTACCAGGGTGTCCATCGCTTGCGGTTGTGCAGGACTTATGGCCACTCCAAGCTGGTTTGAAAGACTGCCTTGTAGAGAAAGCTCAAGGGGTGGCCGATCGAGCGACGGCGCAAGACCGATCCACGTCTGTGAGCGATGCCAGAAATAAAGAGCCAGCATCTAGCGACGCAATGAGGGATGGAAGTGTTGGAGATCAGCCGAAAAAGATTTTGTCGGCGTTTGACAACGATGAGCAGTAGGACGATGAAGCAGAAGGCGAGTCAAAAAGAAAGAGCAAAACGGCGTGGTAGCGGTCCTTCGTTCCGACTAAGAGAATAAAAAGGCTTGGAGTGGAATAGTGAACGTTGACGCTGACAAACGGCGTGCAGTCCGAGTGTCGGTCCGCACGACCGAGGCCACAACGAAGCATACGAGGCTACGCCGATACCAGCACACAACTAAGTGACTTGAGGCAGTTTAGCGTTCACTAAGTCACAACGGCGGGAAGTAAAGCGGATAAAAGGGAGGAAATGAAAGCAATAATAGGCCCCGCTGGGCAGTGCCCTGAGCAGCCATAGCAGCTTTGAGGGTCCTGAGTAACGAACACTGGTCTTTGTCGCTGGACAAAAACGAGCAAAGAAAAAAAGTCAGCGGGTGGGCTCCGCATGCAGTCGAGCAGAAGATGACGGTATGAAGCAGTATGCAAGAAAAAACATACTATGAAATAACGGCAGAAGGATCGAGGCTTTGAAACGAACGGGGAGAAAAGGCAAAGAGAATAGGAAACACACAATTACGAACGCTGCTCTCGTCCTGGGTTCCGAAACCTTTTTTCTTTTAATTTTATCGATAGAAAGTCTAGGAACTAACGGCAATCAACAGCTAAGACGAAACCACTCCACTTACACACGCCTTCGTTCGGCCTTCGCTTGCGGTGCTCTCTGAGCTGGTTGTATAAAAAATATCGAAACTGAAGAAATAGGACTATATCAGGTTTGCAGCAACTAACAAGTCGACAATGCTTGCTTCTGGGTGGATTGTTTATACGTAAATAAAACTGAAAACTCATCTATACTGAAAAAATCTGTGTATAGCAAAGGTTTAACCTCGAGCACCTCTTAACAATGCGGTTGAGCGTAAAGATCTGCTCACAGAGCGTTTGTAAACGCCTGCAGGCAGTTAAGCCTCGCGATCGCAAAGTCTACCGCTAATGAGGGCCCAGAAAAATTTCCCAAGTTGCTTACCGATTGCGTTATAGAAAGCACCTAGGTATCAGCCATGTGGCGACGGCAACGAGATAAGGTTGCGTGTGGTACGAATTTCAAGACTGGATATAATTCTTACAACAGACAATACGAGCTTGCATGCAAATGAATTCCAAATGGACACAGTTAGTTCCTTAAATCACTTACCGAGTTGCAAAGTTGTAAATACCGATTTCTGTATTTCTAAAGATAGAGAAGACTTCGTATCCATTAGATAACACTTAGGAGACGTTTCGAAAGGAACTGTTTAAATCAGACCACTATATACTTGTATGTTCAGATAGCTATTCTGCATACAACTGAATGTATTTCCTTAAACACCGTGTCCTTAACAAGGCTTTATTCGTGTTTCAGTTGTCGGCCACCGTTATTTCATACGCGATTACGCATATCAAAATGGCCGTTATCAAAACACGAGTACGTGCTAATGCAGTGCGTGATAATAAGAAAGGGCACCGAGGTGAGTGTATCGCAATTCATTATCAGATATAACGACTCCAAGGAAAGTGGTGCAATGATTAATAATGTGACAGTCTGCAGGTAACCTTATCATTAGAAAATGCATACATTTTGACGTTAAACTTAAGGCGATCTTCATAAAGCAATTAACTTGATCTCTGTCTTCATTTCATCAAGCCATTAATAAGTATAGCATAATTATTGGTTTTATACAATTAGTATATATACTGTAGCAAAATGAGCCAGAATTTTTCATTGCCTGAAATTACTTTAAGATGTCCGACCTAAGGGGTTTTGACACTGGTGACAGATTATAGCCTACCCTCCCATCCGCTTGTTCTTCCACTCACCAAAATTCATGAACACAAGATCAATCGAGTCTCGTTACTAAGGCCCTTGCCTTTGAGATCCCTGAGACCTCTCAGCAAGTCCGTTCTTCCATCCAATCTTCCGCTAGGGAGCCGGCTATGTGAAACGGGTAGAGCTATACCGATGATGGCCACAACGGTAGCAGAACCGGATGGAGTAATAGTATGGCAATGTGGCAAACTTTGCTAGACAGGCCCCACGAATAAGCCGTCATCCGTCGGATCTCGTGCCTCGCGTAGACGCATAAAATGATGCTGCCATTGAAGAAAAAGAAAAGTAAACAAGGGAGAAGTAGCTGAAGCCATAGAAGTCTTGCCAACACAGACAGAATGAAAGGCAATCTAAAGCAGAATACATAGTAGAGCCTCAGCGGGCTGACTTAAACTGAACTGAATCATGTTTGGCCTTTCTTTCCCGCCGTTGCGCCGACCCGGCGGGAGGCTAGGACGCTGGTGGTCTCTTGTTTGTTGGTTGGTTGGTTGGTTGATGTCAAAATTGAATAATAATATAAGAGTGACGCCTTTGAGCTCCGCAGTTGCTGCCCCAATTCGTGCCCTAACAATTCTGCAACCGTCCCCCTCTCTTCACGACGACCCGTTTAGTACGTCGTTGCTTGTCGTCCGTTGATGAGGATGTGACTGGCTGGGAGGGGGCACTTAAATTGCAGCAAACGGCTAAGAATGGTCGTAGCAGCGGCAGCAGCTGCACCAATACACATAGAACAACACACACGCTGAGTATCTGCTATAGCATTATAGGTTTGTTTGGGTTAGAGATCTAATTACTGTACTTGCTTAATCCGTACGTCACTCCTTTAGACGACCGAAAAGCGCAGCAGTACCTTCCAGACGGTGCAACGTCTGTTAGCTTGCCCCATGTAATAGGACGGATGGAGCGACAGGCTGTGGCCGGAGGGGGTCATGGACTGGGGAGCTGAAGATGATTGTTCTTTGCGATAGACCAAGTCCCCTCAACCCTCACCCGTATCCACAAACCTCTTTTCCATGATTCGACGAGAGGAGACGACGGATAAAGTGATCAAGACAAGTCTTGGTATAGCACAAGAATTCAGAAAGTTCGCGATGTGGCGACAGCTTGAGTGTTGGGGCTGGGTTTGGTGGGCTCAACCCAAGGAGGGCCCTCTCATCGTCGGGCGGGGGTTGGGTGAAAAAAGGTAGATAGTGGCTTAGTCCTTAGAGCCCTCAGGCCGTCTGCTCGCCATTCCGTTCAAACAAGAATGAATGATAACAGCAAAGAGAGTAACTGCTGGTGCACTATACGTAGCAGCGGTAGCTGTAGTGGTGTAGAGGCTGTAGCATTAAGCGAGCTCTAAAGAAAAGCAGTATACACAAAAGGGACCGACGAATGGGCGAGAGTATTTTGGAGCGAACGAAAAGAAACCAGTCGACCAGAATGTCCCGTTCCTGAGTCAGCGTAAGATTGACAGACAGTGAGCGGTGAAAGCTGCGTCAGAAAGGGGCCGTTCAACGTGAGAACGATTTCTTCGTTCTCCGTTCGTTCCGTTCGACGAAGCTGGCAGTGACTGGCCTCCACCTCTTTTTAAGAGAGAGCGAGAGAGAGAGAGAGAGAGAAAGCGATGAATAATTAGCAGATTTACATATCTGTAATGCAACTAGTGAACAGGTGGAATCGATTGGGGCGGAGAAGAGGCTTGTCGTCTGCATGCCCCAATTAAGTGTTTCATATGAGTGGTATTGGCACATCGAAACATGACTATTGTATAAATATAAAAATCGAGGGTAACAGCAACGCACTAGTAATAAATTCTTTGGTGCAAAATGCGCATGCGGCATCGGGGCCTTTGATCGTTACATGAGTCGTGAGCTGATTTCAACACAGAAGACGACGACGACGACGCTTGTTTTTGTGCGCTCTAGCGTTTAGGCCATTGTGGGTGCGCTACGAACCATTACCGGTATCGATCAAAATATTTGCTGTTATCGCTGTCAGATACTGCCTGTGACAATTATGAGACGTGAACTTACGTTTTACAGCTGTAACTTCTTATATGTGTTAACTGTTTACGCCATTTAAAGAGGACGAAGGTCGGATCACTACCGAACAAAGCACCCAGGGTCGACGAGCGGTTAACGGCTTTCTATCGTTTGCTTACAGAATGCAACGAATAGTTCTTCAATAGAAATACTTAAAATTGACTACGTTCTTTCGAGCATCTAAGAAACTGTGTGACCTTTTTTGAAAGCATTTGTGCTTGGCCGGTAAGGGTATACTAAATTTCGACTGAATGATATTCTCTAATTGAAATCAATAATTAAATAGAAATATTCAACTTTTTATCGTACAAGCAACACAAAGTCAGTAATGAATATCGCAGGGTTAAATGACAGTTTATTCGAGATATTCTTTTATAACGTCCCAAACTTGCCTATGAATATGAAGTTCTCAAGAAAATGTTTATAATAACTACGCCCGATCTATTTTGGCTTTGAAAAGAGTCGCGGTGTTCGAACACATTGAATAACGAAAAAAAATCATTCAGAGACGAAAAAAAAACCACCATGAGAATGTTGTAAATATTTGTAGCCACAACGTCTTATGTAATACACAATAATACATGGAATGTGTTGAACATAGGTACCGCAATGTTTTAACTATCTATTTTTCTGTAAGTCTCGCTGTTTTTGCAGCAACAATTACAGAAAAAAGTGCAGGCATTTGAAAGTGAAGAGTCAGAGCAGCGATGAAAACTTCACTGTCCCTCATTTGCCGATATTTTAAGAACCATTTGCCAACGCCAGAGGGTAGCTCGACATCTATTTATTGGTAGACAGGAGCGCCTAAAGAAGCGAGAGATACTTTGAAGGGGATTCGAGGAAACGAGGTGCGAAGTAGTCCTCTCAGTTGGTTTCCGATGCAAACTGGATTCTTGACAGTGATCCCATTAGCAAACGAGAGAGACAAAGAGTGCGCAGAGGCGAAGGAACAACGTCGGCGGAAGTAAAACAGCGAGGGCAGCTTTTTTTTTGCAGCGCTCCCCCTCTTACTGTTTTCGAGACGAAAACCCCTATGGCTCCTGCCCTTGAGCCTATTCTACGAGCAGATATTTTCCGTAACTTACTTCACTTCCTATAAGCTAGAGTGCTTATGAACCATTAACAACACGGAATACCATAGTGCATGCATTTAGATACGAGTTCAATGGGGCCTGGTTGTTTTGAGCATTAGTTTGAGTTATGTTCGGTTGAAAGATACCCCGCTGTGAATGTATACGCATCCTTCTCCTCTTCATCAAAGCAAAACCTATATCTGTACTTACACTGAACAAGTAAATATGTTATTGCGTAATATCACCCACATTGTATGAAACAATGCACACTAGACTATTGCATAAATGGCTGACTCCATTGACTAAGTAACAAATACAATGACATAGTGTGAGCACGTAAAGCATTGAAGTTATCTCTATGCATGTGCCCTATTGAAGCTAAAACAGTTCACCGCGTAGTAGTTGGAGCTATTACAAATCCTGTGTCCTTTACAGCTACTTATATCCGCTGCTATGAATCGACCTACAAGCTTACCGAACGGCGACATTAGGAAGGAGCCTCATTTTCCCATTACATTTCTTTAGGTCCCTAAAACACCGTTGAAGTGCAGTCGAGGAATGAAACAGCGTTCAGCTTCGACGCCTTGATGAGATTCGTGCGGAAAGCTTTTGAAGTAGATCGAAATTTCAATGGTAAGCGAATGAGCCGAAAGGCTCTTTCTTGTTATTGTTTACAGAAAAAATGCTGATTCACGCTGATTTTAAACATTTTGTTCAGGAAATGATTACACAGATTCTATTGTCGGTTGCCTGCATTATCGAATCAGAATTACCTGACAGTTTGTTCTGAAGTCGCAACCCAAAAAATGTGTCAACTTTTATGTACAAACCTGTGCCAGCATTGTAACTTACGGTTCATGCCCAACACGAAGCAAATGTCTATTCTCAAGCCGTACCCATTATTCGTGTTTGGCCTTTCCCCGGCCTGATTTTAGTAAGCAGTCCTGTTGCCACTGCGCTCTCCTAAAGACCGAAATTGCAACGTAAGCTTTCCCAACCTCTTACAGCAAATGGTCTATTAAGCTTAGAACATGGAAAATTTCATTATAACTTTCCACAGCGAAAGACGTGCCTGTTCAGACGATCACTAGTGTTCTAGGGGCTGAAATGTTTTTTGCCAAGGCCACGTTGGGGTAAAGTCACAAGCAAACAATGAATAGTTAATATTCTTTGGTATTTTAGTTCAGTTCAATAAAATATACTCTACCTTGGTATTTCCTGTAGGTTTGAAGCGATATCGCATCAGCTGTGGCATTTAACTTCATAGTGAATTTAGTGGTAAGTTGATATTGCGATTGCCAGGCTCGTGCGAAGTCGAGTAGCTCCTCCTTGCCAAGAAAGTATAGTGCTGTTTTAAAACGACGGCGACGGCGGCGGCGGCGTCGTCACCGCTGCCATCAGTAGTGGCGTTTGTTGCAGAGCAGTGGACAACAGTTGAAGTTTGCGAAAACTAAACGTCGGTGCAAATCCAGACGACCTGTTTAGAGACGCTGTACGCCGACGCGTGACTCTATTACTGATGTATGAACAACATGCTGCCAACAGACATCTCTGTGAAGATCGTAAGCAACACTAGAAGAACCCCAGGGAAGCTTGAAGAGCTTTGTTTGTATGTTCCGACAACGAAAAGAAAAACCAACAAAAGCCAAAACATCAACGGAGACATCTTTCGTAGATGATTTAAGGCCATACAGTTGACGTGGAACGCGAGGGACGTCGACAAACGCAATCTGAAGCAAAGAGGACGATGGACGCGATTAGGAAAATAGCCAGACGATTACTAGTTTGTTGCGTCAATACCTGCCGTAGCAACAGACATCTCAAAAGCCGGCGAAGCACTTTAAGCAAGAATAAATCAGAGAACATCGTTCAAGAGAAGTTTTCTTTTTTATTACTTTCAGCAAGGTGTAGTGATTCTGAGAAATATTAGCAGTGTTACCGATAATGATTCATGTCTTACAAAAGGATTATGTTAATGACGATACTTCTTTGTACACAAATTGTCGATACGAAGGGCGTAACTTTAAATCACAAATGATCGCTTTTTGTCTTAATAGGTTAAATATTATGTATTACGATATAAATATGATTTTTACCAAACAGAGAAGCTTTGTAAATACTGATTTGATTTGCTTTAACCACTGAAGGATCAATGTTGTCGATTGCTACGGTGCCAAGACGCCCACACCGAAAGAAAAAGGTAGACTAGTGACGAAACGCTGGGCTTCACACCGTAAAGCCCGGAAGACGTGATGACCTCGGGCGGCCAATGGCTTCGGGCAATACTGGAGAGCCCTCTTTTTTATACCCCTTAGTTACCTTCCATCAAAACCAGCGTTCGTGTCGCACCAGTAGGGCCTGTGTTTTTTTATATGCGGCCTTACTTCTCAAATTGTTGATGGCCAACCTGTTGTCATTTAACGACAAACACCAGAATAGAGCAACTCTGAAGTTGACCGATCTACTTAACGGGAAAGTGCTAGGAGAAGGGTTACACTTATCACTAGATAATCGCAAAGTAATACAAATTGGCTGCGCATGGTGTTGAAAAGAAGAACAGTAGAAAGTTTTAATCTCAACAAATGCTAGCTTCAAAGTCTTTCACCTGTTCCTTGGTTGTTCCTTCTGCTAGTAACAGCGGCGGTGATAACAATAACGAAACAGTTTTACCGGGCATTATGATGCGGTCCAGTGTTCAATCTCAGGGATCAGGATATCACTTTCTATATATGATGAATTAAGGTACCTACTTATTATGATATTTTTTATCTTATATTGACTTCCATTCAACTCAACGAATGTCAATAGGCTGGATACTTGACCATCATTATAGACGTACGTAATGCTGTCTTGTTTAGAAAATACCAGTATCCATTTATAAACATCCGGCCATAAAGGAGCGCCGAGCTGCATATTAATCAGTTTTTCAGAGACGAAAGTTAACTTTGTTCGATCGTCTACATGCTTCCGCTTGCTTGCCATATACTACCCACAGAACCTATTTTCGCTATACAAATAAGCTTTTCCACTAAGTAAGTTATTCCACTAGACTGACTGGACTTCAAATCGGTGCACTCAAGGTCTATAGAATGTCCATATGTATTAGGCACAACGTGCAAGAATTCGTGGAATCAGGTTGTGGCCAGTATACAAACATACACGCAATAAGGGTTACGCCAGCAGGCGATAAGCTTCTCTCGAACATCTCGCTTATCGAAATTTTCGTGCTTATGAGGTTTGCACTTCGTTCTCTTTTGGATTGTGTCATCATCACAGTGAAGCTCACCTCCTTACGCGTGTAAATCCCAGCGGCGTTTCTCAAAGATTTTAGACTGACGTTCTTATACATAGAAATAAATCTTGGAGACACGGCGACTTTGTATTCTCGGCATGCTGCTATCGTGCATCATACGCGCCGTAGAGGAGAATATTTGTTTAGTTCTTATTCTTTTTTTGTCGCTACATTGCTGATGCGGTATTGACTACCTTGTTTGACCCCCTGATCAAATCTGCCATACTTTAAAGGGCGCTTACGACACCTGTGTGGAGATTTCCCGAGGTCCACGAAATCCTATGTGGCCATACCGACGGATTTTTTATGCAACGCTTTTCGATTATATTGTCGAGACAGGCATTCAAAGGCCATATACCATCCGGGAACGCCTAGATCCGTAGAGTCCAATTTGCGCGCAACGAAATGAAGTCTGTCTTAGTACAAAAAGTGAGACTTGTGTCGAACGAAACCCTTAGAACAGTATACCATTCTGTTTAAGTAACTAAAGGACCTTAGTAATTGCTTTGGTCACAGATGTAAATCATTGCTTAACAAATATGCTAGTACTAGAGCTAATTACAGACGTAAAATTAAATTCGGCATAAAATGCTTTGGCTGCCAGTGATGTGGGTCGCCTTTTTTACACTTCTCTTTCCGATTAGCCTCTAATTGTGAAAAATTTTGCCTTTCGTATCTATTATTTGCTTTGAAAGCCAACAGCAACGATGAGGCCCTAGTGCGAGGCACAAGTACCGCGATAATCAGGACGGCAAATATACCCGAAGTCGAAATTGGGACCGGTATGTAAAAGAGTCTCATATCTAGCAAAATGTGTGAAAGCCAGGCGCGTATATATTCAAATCGCAGGTGGTAATGGAAAATTCAAGTCCGCTTGCTGAAAGCTGCGGTCCACATAACGGCTGAAAGTAGTAGGCGTCCATTGGCGCAGTGAGATTCCAAGCGAATGCAGAATTTAGCTTTCGCCATCACCTTTCGGCACGAAATATTTTCCAAGAATCTTGCTCCCGCCTAGAGCACGTGCAGAAACTAGTCGACCACACATGGAAATGCTAGTCCACTACCAGTATACAAGGTAAATTTTCTAGGGAGGTAATAGCGGTGGCTTGCCCCCCTCTCCCGCCGTCGTGAGAAGTCGTGCAATCGCACAACGGGTCCAGAATATTTGAGTTACCCCTTCCCTTTGGATTACATGTTTTGCCTATAAAATAGCTACGATTTAGGTGTTGGATGGGCGGAGCAGAAAAAGCCTGTAATACGAGCTAGCTAAGAATTTTGTTAGAAATCAAGAACGTATCACAAAGAAGATTGAATACACGGACAGATTAACTTGTGACGCACAAACTGTGGATACAAGTAATATTCAAATGGTGCTAGGCAAAGGCCTGTAGAAACGCTTGCATTTAAAGTCTGAGAGCGTGTGGAAACCGCGATGAGGCACTAATGTGTCGACCTTATAGCCTTCGTATTCTTGCAAGTAGAAATTTTGCTTTTCATTTTCTTTTTTTCCTTTGGCTGAGGATATTTACAGCTGTCAGGGGACCCTGCATTTGCACATCATATGCCTGTTACAGATAATAATACTATCAGATAATCACGGTTCGCAAGCATCGAAACATTTCGTCCTGGGCCTTAAAACTAGTGATACCCAATTGGCATTTTTCCTCTTAAATTTTGACCGGATAAGCCACTATGGAGTGCATGTTGCGGCTTTGAGAATGGACATAATCTTCACGTACAAAATGCAGTACTTTTCTTTGAACACATTACAAACAGTTTCCCATATGGAGTTTAGACTCGGTTCACTTAAATAGATCGAACTGATTGAATAGTAGTTACATAGGGATAAATGAGAATTACGGTTGATGCTATCAGATACTATGTAATAACCGAATATAGGTAGCTTAAATGCCGAAGTGTACGTCTGACACTACCGTTAACTATATCTTGCTTCAGATTTCAGTAAGCAACTTAACACTGGTATAGCCCCTATTTATATAGAGATTATCGTACAGGCTGAGGTTCGTAGCTGTCGAATCCACTAGGGGTATTATTTATCTATTTGTCTTCGCTCTTCCCCTCTTAATTTAGGTTGTCTGTCTATCTCTATTTAGCCTGCTTTCTCTCGTGGTCGTCTTGGCTTGCTCCTATAGATGTCTTCTCCACAGAAAAGCCATCACTGGTTTGAGATCTGGATATAGCGAGGAAAATCGAACAACTTCGGCCAAGCCGATGATACGCGTCGCCGCGTTACTGGCCCGTTACGTAATTGAGAACGACAACATAGTAAAGTCCAGCGCAAAGGCTCGTAGCTTTAAGGTCGCATAGATAGTTTAGTCAGGACTGGCAAAGATTTAGGGAACGAGTCACTGACTGCGATTGAAGAATAAGATGAAGGAGAATTACAGAAGCGAGAAGACAAAGCACTTGGCACGCAAAAAAGACAGGGGGAATAGAACATTGGAAATCGAATGAAACTCCTCCGAGCTTTCGACGAAATCCAAGCTAAGAATCGAAAGTGAGGTAAAAAGCGAGCCAGAGATTTTCTCCATATGCAGGTAATAGCAGATTTACCACACTTGTGCTAACAGAGGTGGAAAAAGTTCAATTTTGCAATCGCTATAGCTTATGCATGGCTAAGTTAGGCAGAGGTCTTCCTTTCGCTCAAAACCAATTAGATCACAACCTGATGCTGTGAATTAATGAAATTATCCTTAATACAAAATTGATGGTTTGTTAAGTTGATCTGAAAATAAACTGTGAGAGATAAATAGATGATTCAGATCATACGGGGGTGCCCTATTTACCATATGAGCTAGCGGAGGTTGCACTTTAGACTTCAACAGGCCGGTGCCCTATGGAGAAAACCGTACTTAGATGTTTGAGATGCTGTTCGTGACAGTATCGCCTATAGAACAATTTGCATGAGACTTCCAGTCATTAACCGGCACAGCTCGTCATCGTTTCATGAGATGATCGGCAAAAGACCCTTGCAAATAGAACGCATAGGGAAATTCGGTTTTTATCATTACGAGGTACGCAACGTTGAATAGGTTCGCGTAATAGCTCCGGGACAACTTAGTGTATTCAGATATGCTGTTTTCAACTACTTATGACATCCCTTAACGCATTTGCACTCCTATGCCACCATATCATTATTTTTTTCATATTGGTCATTTGATGTTTTTCTTCTCCGGCCGTCAACGCTTATCAAAGAAGTAGCATTTAAAGGAAATAGAAAGAAAATCGTTTACAAACTGGCCCGCTATGTTCGACAGTTCAATACGACCTGCCTATATCGTCCGACTCCTACTGCCTTAAAACATCCTATCTCTCCTTGGGTGTAGCTGGGCCGTTCCTCCTGCCTGTCGGGGTCGTCGGGTCATGTTTTTGGTGAAAGCGAGGGTGGTTTCAAATGACCCGTGAGCGAAAGCGACGACTATGGGATGCCCTCACAAGAGATCAGGCGAGAACGGCAGGCAGAACATCTGGCGGTACATCTTGGTTAAGCAGGCCATGAGAAGAAAGC